TTTTTTCTACATAACCCATTTTTTGGGGGAATTCCTGATGCTCCCTAACTAACCTTTTCAGTACATCAAGAATACATATCACTGTTTCTTTTGTGAAACAATATCTGCTACAAGAATATCCCACTAAAGAAAACTTAAGTGATTACTCACAATGAAACTTGCATTCAAACTAGAATTCAGTCTCATAGAAGAAGTAAAAAGCTAAAAGGAAGATATCTTTTAACCTAATATGTATATTAGAACTTTGGTTTTCAAATGGTTCCAAAAATGAGTGTCCTTAAAAACTGTAACTCATTACTTGCTTTAAACTAACTTATTTAAAGGCATAAATAGCCCATGGACTTGGGAATTGTATCTGAATTCTGACTGCTCAGCCTACAAAATGAGACCTTGTGCATTTCCATCGTCTCTATACTTAGCATGTTTTCCCCTGAAAGAAGGATCACAACAGCGGCCTATTAAAGTTGTGAAAAATGACTAACCATCAGAGAAATGCAAAGCAAAACCGCATTCAGGTACCACTTCTATTGATTTAATAAAACTATATAACATTAATGATAGCTCTACTTAAACATAAAAAATAGGTGTAATTGTTATGTGTGTTATGAAGAGGTAGAGAAAGGGAAGAGGATTTCTGGCACTGTATTGGTAAGAATATAATGTGTGCATTTATTATAAAAAGCTTCATTAGAGGACCTCAAAACTTTAAAAATAGGACTTCTATTGGATCCAGAAATACCATCCCTGAGTATTTATCCAGAGAATTGACATTGGTTCTCAGATCTACACTCTCATAATGAAGTACAATTATTTTGCAATAACCAGAATTTTGAATATGGAAATAATCTGTATTTGTCAATATATATACACATTTACCAATTTATGATATAGGCTATTCCTTAATACTAATTATCTTAATAAAATTACTTGACCATGAGAGGTTTTGATATTGCTTTATCACATTGCATTTTGTGTGTATGTCTATCTGTATTCTGTGTGTGTCTATCTGTATATCTGTCTGTGAGATGTGTTCAGTCTTCTTCTCAACTGTAAATTCCCTGGTAGGAGACTCTACATAGCATTTACAACCCTAGTGACTCTAAAATTATTCACTTTGGGACTGGAGTGATAGCATAGTGGGTAGGGCACTTGTCAATGCCCAGAACCCCATATGGTCTCCTGAGTGCCATCAGGAGTGATCTCTGAGCTCAGAGAAAGGAGTAAGCCCTGAGCACTGCCAAGTGTGCCCCCAAACAAAACTAAACTAAAATAAATTATCCACCTTTTGAACAAAATATATTTTAGCCATTTGTTCACAGCTTGAATGAACAGCATAAAAGGGTAGGTCACTTTGGGCTTTCAACATGATTGTGAACTTGCTAGAAACATGAATCTCATACTCTGTCCTACTTTGGGTGCAATCCTAATAACCAAAGTGGTAACTGTTCTAGTTTTTTCTTTTTCAGGCTAATCCCAAAGTTTGTTTTGTTAAACATTTACTCCCCATTGATCATGATGGCACCATGATGGCAAATTTACTCTTATTACCCCTCTTTTCATATGCATTTTATATAGACCTAAATTTAAATATTTTTAAATATTTTTAAGATTTTGGGGGAGGCTAGAGAGATAATACAGTGGGTAGAGCTCTTGCCTTGCATGAAGCTGACCTGAGTTGTACCCTTGAGCCCTACCAGGAGTGATCCATGGTTAGAGAACCAGGCATAGGCCTTGAGCATCTCCAGGAGTGGCCCAAAAACAACCAAAAAAAGGTGTTATTATTTTTTCCAATTTTTATTTAGGTCCTATGATTTACAATCCTAAATCATGCTAATAATAAAGTATTAGGTATACAATGTTTCAACCCCCCACACACTACCAGTGTCAGAGTTCCTCCACCAATATCTCAAGATAGTCTCCTACCCACTTAGAAAACTCATTTTCCCCCAAATTTAATTGTTATAGTTTGGATCACAAGTTTACAATAATGTTAACCCTTATGACTTAGCTGTATAGTTATGTCATATCACCACCACAGAAGTTCCCAGGAGGCACCACTGGCCTTATGTTACAAGCAGTCCACATCATCACCCCTCCCTACCTACAAAACATGTTAAAGACTATTGGAAATTATAAGTCACTATTGAAAGAAACAGAAGCCAACACCAGGAAGTTGAAAACTATTCCACATTCATGGATTGAAAAAACTAACATTGACAAAATGACATTCCTACCTATGGTACCAGACAGAGTCAATGCAGTTCCTACCAAAATTCTGACACATTGTTTAAGGACTTAGAACAAAATCTACTAAAATTTATATAGAACTATTCTTAATGCTCACAGAAAATTAGAAAACAATTTTTTTTACATTTTATGCTTCCATTTATTTTATTTGTGTTTTGGGGTCACTCCTGGCAGTGGTCAGGAGCTACTCCAAGTTCTGTGCTCAAGGGTCATTCCTGGTAGTGTTCAGGAGGCCATATGGTACCAGAGATCAAAACTGGGCCTCCATCATGCTAAGAATATTCTTAGCCCATTTCACACTGTTTATGCATCACTGTTTCCATTAGAGTTTAATTCATTGTTTAATGACAGTAAGTGGTTAGCAATAATTGTGGACTTGTAAAACATGACTATCATAACAGATGTCTGTTTTTTATGGTAAAATGCTTTAGTCTCTAGTATTATGACTATTTATAGAGCAACAATTCTGAGTCTCTGTTCTACCTAATTCCCAGGGTAACTGATCCGTTTAGGAGATTTTCTTATTGGGAAGAGGCTCTGAGAGTCAAGAGAATGTTAGGGTGTATGAGTTGTTCAACTAGAATTGCATTGAGAACTTTAGACATATTTTTTCTTTCCTGTACCATGCAATATCATGCATGGATGACTATTCTTTTTAGTCTAAGAAAGATTCTGATATGTCATCTTCTAAGATTTAGTCTCTAGTGCATGGATGAAAAAATCATCTGGAACCATAATTCTTTCATTCGGAACTTTAGTCTCCTCAAATTTCATGATCTCATGTTGTGTATGTTTTGATGAACATGTTTGATGGAAATTCTTTTGAATTAGGTTAGGTTGTCTTAGGATTTTATATTAGAAAGACTAGTCTTAGTTCTTAGCATTGAATCTCTGGCATTGTTGGTTAAAAATTGTGGGAATGCTGGAGTCAGAGCGGTAGTACAAAGAGTGGGGAATCTGCCTTATATGCGACTAGTCTGGTTTGATCTCCGGCACCCCATATGGTTCTCCAATCCCGCCAGGAGTTATTCCTGAGTGCAGAGCCAGGAGTAAGCCCTGAGCACTGTTGGATGTGTCCCCCCCAAAAAAATCCACACACACATGCACACAACAACAACAAAAAAAGAACTGTGGGCATTGGTTCTAGAGGCCCCCTGAGTACTGCTTGCGTGATTCCCCCTCCCAGAAGAATAAGTAAAATAAAATATAAAGATTAGTCAAGAATTCTTGCTCATAAAAGCACCAGCAAGTTTAAGATGGCCCCTATTTAGATGTGTGCAATACTAGCTCAGGAATGTGTAGTAGTGTTCTTTAGTTTCCCTTCCCTGTTTTCCAAAAGGACACATGCATATAAACAACCAATACTGGATTGGCAGTATCACACATTTTTTGAAATACTATTCAGCTAGTAATTCATTAGGCATTTTGCACTAATTAAGCTACCACATTATAGAAAAAGATACGGGTTAAGTCCCATCTACATATCCATCTCCTTTCTCTTGAAATTCCCTATTTCAGTTTCTAAATATTGAAACTATTAATATGTGTATAGAAATATAAATGTATATACGGTTGAATGTTTTCAGTATTCACTAGGAAATTCCACTATTTCAACAAGAATGGACATTGAAGGTCTTGTGCTAAGCAACTGGCAGTTACTGGAAGGGCAATACTGCATAATCCATAACTTAAGATATCAAAATATCCAAATTCAGAGAAAAATAATTGAATGTCTTTCAGGGGTAGAAAGAAACAGGTAGTGTTTATTGAATGGTTATAGAATTACAACATATATCACAAAAATTATCAGATCTCTTTTATACAAATACACACACACAAACACACAAATTTTGCACAATAGACCTTGGTAACTTGTTATGAATATGGATACAATTATGTTAATTTTATGACAAAAAGAGCAAAGGAGCACAAAAATCATCTGGAGGTGGTAAATATTTATTTCTTGATTTTCATGAAAAAAAATTACAACTCGATGTATGTCCTACTTCATAAGAATAAATAAAACTTTTAAAAGGTTTATAAAACTTTAATAAAACTAAAGATTTAAATATTAAGTATGCTGCCAAAAAATATTTTAAACCTCATAAGATCCAAAACTTGGTTTTCTTTTTAAAAAGTTATTTGACTTTCATAGGAAAGTCTTAAAAATGAGACCTTAGGAATAGGACTATACCTGATCAATTTCTTTATCTCATGTAGAGTTCCTATTCCCAGCTCTGTCACTGGGCAATGAATGAGCCATCACTAGGATACAGCTCTCTTTCCTCAGGTACCAAATAAATGGGGATTTTAGCATTCCCTTAACTAGAGTGGAAATTATGTCTCACATAACAAGATGTGGTTTTACCACCAAAGATGGGAAAACAGGTGACAACATTCCTAGGAGCAAAACAAGAAATCACTGAAAGATGATTCTCAAGAATGAGGGGTAATTCCTAATACACGAAGGGAAAGAAATTATATTTTCCATCTATCTTGACATGTTTAAACAGGAAAACAAACTTGCTTAATTTGATAATAGCCTATCCACTGGGAGAAACAGTGACAAGGAAATGGAGGTTCTTCCAATGACAGCAAGCCCCTTAGCAGGGTATAAAAGGGGAGGTGGGGGCAGGAGACTCCAAACTTCTCAATCCACTCCATCTTCCTAGAAACCCATCCAGAACCTCCTCCCTCTGACACCATGGTCAACTCCTGTTCTGGCTCCGTCTGCTCTGAGCAGAGCTGTGAAGAGAGCTGCTGCTGCCGGCCCAGTTGCTGTGTGTCCAGCTGCTGCAGACCCCAGTGCTGCCAGGCTATGTGCTGCCGCCCCAGCTGCGGTGGCTCTAGCTGCTGCCGTCCCAGGTGTTGCATCTCTAGCTGCTGCCGCCCCTCTTGTTGTGGTTCCAGCTGCTGCCGCCCCTGCTGCTCCAGCTCCAGCTGCTGTGGCTCCAGCTGCTGCCGCCCCTCTTGCTGCATCTCCAGCTGCTGCCGCCCCTGCTGCTCTAGCTCCAGCTGCTGTGGTTCCAGCTGCTGCCGCCCCATCTGCTGCATCTCCAGCTGCTGCCGGCCCTCTTGCGGTGGCTCCTCCTGCGGTGGTTCCAGCTGCTGCCGCCCCAGCTGCTGCATCTCCAGCTGCTGCCGGCCCTCTTGCGGTGGCTCCTCCTGCGGTGGTTCCAGCTGCTGCCGCCCCTCTTGCTGCATCTCCAGCTGCTGCCGGCCCTCTTGCGGTGGCTCCTCCTGCGGTGGTTCCAGCTGCTGCCGCCCCAGCTGCTGCATCTCCAGCTGCTGCCGCCCCAGCTGCTGCATCTCCAGCTGCTGCCGTCCCTCTTGCGGCGGCTCCTCCTGCGGTGGCTCCAGCTGCTGCCGCCCCACCTGCTGCATCTCCAGCTGCTGCCAGCCCTCTTGCGGCGGCTCCTCCTGCGGTGGCTCCAGCTGCTGCCGCCCCACCTGCTGCATCTCCAGCTGCTGCCGTCCCTCTTGCGGCGGCTCCTCCTGCGGTGGCTCCAGCTGCTGCCGCCCCACCTGCTGCATCTCCAGCTGCTGCCAGCCCTCTTGCGGCGGCTCCTCCTGCGGTGGCTCCAGCTGCTGTCGCCCCACCTGCTGCATCTCCAGCTGCTGCCGTCCCTCTTGCGGCGGCTCCTCCTGCGGTGGCTCCAGCTGCTGCCGCCCCACCTGCTGCATCTCCAGCTGCTGCCAGCCCTCTTGCGGCGGCTCCTCCTGCGGTGGCTCCAGCTGCTGCCGCCCCACCTGCTGCATCTCCAGCTGCTGCCGTCCCTCTTGCGGTGGCTCCTCCTGCGGTGGCTCCAGCTGCTGTCGCCCCAGCTGCTGCATCTCCAGTTGCTGCCAGCCCTCTTGTGGTGGCTCCTCCTGCGGTGGTTCCAGCTGCTGCCGCCCCACCTGCTGCATCTCCAGCTGCTGCCGCCCCATCTGCTGCCAGACTACCTGCTGCCGCCCCACCTGCTCCAGTGCCTCTTGCTGCTGAGCACCCTCACCTGTGCCCACCTGCACTCTGTCAACCCACTTCCCCGTGTAGTTCCACTCTGAGCTGCGTCAAGATGCCTATGGAAAACCCCCAATTCCCATTTATCTTAAATTGTGTTTGTTCTCTAAATGTACCGCACCCATCAATATTGCTATATCTTTCCCAAATGAACTAGAAGTTTGAAATAGCTTAAAATTATTGATAACATAACCCCAGCTTATAGATATATTTCCTGCCATAATTTGTCTTATGACGATATCCCTACATATTAAATAAATCTTAATTTTTCAAACTGTACTAATATGAGTAATGTATTTTATTGTTTTCTTCTTGATTTGTCGCTCCTTGTCATCCACTGTGCGACTTTCTTTCTACAGAGAGTGCATATATAGTACGTGATTTCACGATTCCACCTCCATTCCTCAGGACTCCTTATTCTAATAGAGGAAAGTGGTTTCCTATACACTCGCTGCATGAGTATGTTTTTCTTAAAAGCAAGCAAGCTTTGGGAGGCCCAGTTGAGGGGAAATTCAAGCCAGGACAGTCCTCAGCCAGAGGACGGAGTTGGATGAATATCCAGCTCATTTTCACTTGGAGTGAGGAAATGTGGGACCAGACTCAGAGATCCTTATGAAATTGACATCTAGCTGCCTACAGTGAATATTTTTTTTTCAGTAAATTGGGGAGGGCACACCCAATGATGCTCCGGGGTTACTCCTAACTCTGCACTTAGGAACTACTCCTGGCAGTCCTGAGGGGACCATATGCAGTACTGAGCATCAAATCCCAGTCACTTGCTTTCAAGGAAAATGCCTTGCCTGCCGTACTATCCCTCCAGCCTTGCCAACAACAATCTTTAATCTGTTCACTCATCATTCTCTATAGATCTCCATTCCTCTCAGGTGACTTAGAGAGCCTTAAATACATCACATGAGTAAATAATTTGCTCTAGTGTTTTGTTTTTGTTTTTAATTTCTGCTCCTTGGGGAATCCTACCCAAACCTCAGTAATCCTTTATTCATTTCCATTCTGATTCAGGTTAGATGATACATTTTCTAAGAGAACTCTGACCACAGAATTCAATGTTTTATTCCTTCTTTACATATGTTAAAGACATATAACTTAAATGCTTGTGTACCTTTGTGTGTTGCTTGAGGAACTTTGTGCTCTTTTAATCATATTGATATTCAGCAGAAGCATTTCTGTCTCTCATTGCCATCCCAAACTTGATGCCCATTGCAACATTATTTTCACAATGGATCTTAAGGTTAAATGTTGCCATCTACTCACTGATACTGGGAGATCTTATCATCTTATCGTACTGGGAGATCTTTGCTCCTTAGGAGACAATTTCTGTGTCAATATTCTTTAAAACAAGCTCAGGGAACAGAAAGATAGTAAAGAAGTTAAGGCACTTGCCTTGTAGTGCCCAACACCCCACATCCAATCCCCTGAACCTTGCCAGGAGTGATCCCTGAGTGCAAAGTCAGGACTAAGACCTGAGGACTTCTGAGAGTGGACCCCCAAACCAAGCACTGTATCACTGTCCTCCCGTTGTTCATTGATTTGCTTGTGCGGGCATCAGTAACATCTCCATTGTGAAATTTGTTGTTACTGTTTTTGGCATATCGAATACGTCACACATAGCTTGCTAGGTTTTGCTATGTGGGTGGGATCCTCTCAGTAGCTTGCCGGGCTCTACAAGAAGGGCAGAGGAATCAAACTCGGGTCAGCCTCATTCAAGGCAAAAGTCCTACCTGCTGTGCTATAGCTCCAGCCCAAAGCTAAATGTAGGAGCATAAATTTAGAAGAAAATTTTAAAGAATCGTACTAAACTCTGCTTGTAAAAAACTAAAATCAGAAAACTTCTGCTGCATTATATGGTTTAAATTTTATTTTAAAAACCCATATTAGTAGAAAAACTACTTATTTCATTTATAACATTTGTTGTATACAATTGGCTTTAAAAAAAACTCATCGCATGACAGAAGCTATCTAATGCACTGCTCACCAAAACCAAATAGTAAAATAAAATAAAATAGGCTTTGATTCCAGAATATAGGCACACCTAAATTTCTTAGCCTTTTAGGAGTTGCTGATCCTTTGACCTCTTCTTCTTTATTACTGTAGTGAGCAGTTTGCCTCTGAATCTTCCATAGGAATCACTTTAGAATCACATCAGTGTCACCATCATGATCACGATCACCCTGCTGTTCGTCGATTGCCTCAAGCAGGCACCAGTAACGTCTCCTTCTTCCTAGCCCTGATATTTAAAAAGAGCCATATTCAATGCTCTTTCAGGGCTAAGAGAATGAGACCTATCATTGTTACTGGTATTTGGCATATTGAGTACGACACAGGAAGTTTGCCAGACTCTGCCATGCGGGCAGGACACTTTCGGTAGCCTGCCGGGTTCTCCAAAGGAAAAAAAAGATAATAAGAGCTGGGTTTTATAGTCTCTGGGTCTTGGCCGTTGATGGGACCACCTGGCGCCGGCGGCAGCTGGTGGGTGTAATGCCTACCTACTGGAAGATGGGGGATCTGGGTGGAGAAAATCCAGTCCCGATCCGAGCAGGCTTGGAGATCTCAGCCCTGGGACCCAGGTGCCTGGGTTCCTCTGCCGGTTCCTTCATGCATGAGGCTTGTCCAGACGTGTGGAGAGTGGTCTCAGCATAGCTGTGGCTGGTTCTGGAGGTCTTCGGCTGCTGGGGCTCTGCTCGGGGCGGGGAGGGAAACTCAACCTGCCTCCTCCAAGGGGCCCCGGTGAGGACAGCCAGGTGCAGGGGCAGGAGATTCTGCTGACATCTGTGTCATGTGATTCTAAAGCTATACTAGTTATCTATATATCATGTTATATAGCGTGACCTCAAATTTAGCAACTTAAAACAGCATGCTTTCCCCCTACCCCAAATATTTTTATGCAGGTATCAGAAATCATAATACTATTAATTATGGATTAGGAATCCAGGCAACAACCCAACAAAGTTTCTGCTTCAGAGTGATAGATGAGACCTCAATCAATATGTAACCTGCTGAGGTCTCCTTACAGTCTCCCCGTTTGAAGAATCCACTTCCAAATTTACTTCTTTGCTTTATGGACAAGTCCAAGTCCTTGAGAACCATTGTTGTGAGATTTCCCAGTTCTTTGCTGCTGTTCAATGGAGACTTCATTCTCTTCTTGCCACAAGAGTTCAGCCATAGAGCAGTGGCTCATCAAAGTCATTAGAGACAGAGTTGACTAGCATGACAAATCGCTTTTTAACATTTATCTTATTCACATCATAGTTGACCTATCCTGCTTATTAGAAGCAAGTTATTCAATGGGAAAGAATAAAGTTACATAAGCCATGAACACTAGGGTGGGGAGAAGACATAAGGTCAATTTAGAGGTTACTTATTAAATCCCACAAAAATATAAGAATATAGACACATAAGGGCCGGAGCATTAGTTCAGTGGGTATGGAATTTGCCTTGTGTGTGTCTGAGCTGAGTTTGATCCCTGGTATGCCGTATGACCCCCTGAGCATTGCCAGGATCAATTTCTGAGTGCGTAGCGAGGAGTAAACCCTGAGAATTTCCAAATAGGGCCCAACAAACATACAAACAAAACAGATTAAGAACACATAATAAATACGTTTGGCTCATTCGTGAAATATTAAAAACATACAAGTCTAAACTACCTTGCTTAGCACATATGTCTATATAGTAAAACTATAAAGAAAATCCTGAAATGCATATCTTAAAAAATCAGGATAGTGATTTACTCTGGAGAAGAAGAGTACTTCTAAAAGATTCATTAAAGATCTTCTTGACAGTGGCAATATTCTATTTTTTGATGAGCCATAGATATAGATGCTACCTTCTTGACAATTTTACTACATATTATTTTATTTGCTTTAAATACTATATTATCTTAATGGAAGAATGTTTAATAAATCATGTTCCTTGAAACATACCATTTAAAATAAAAAAGAATGATTAAATTAAACAATAATCTAAGATTGTTAAAGAACAAAGGGAAATTCAACAGGGACATGTAGACACGAAGTGTTTTAAAATATTGCTCTATTTCATTTTATTTATTTAACCTTTTGGTTTTGGGGCAATACCCAGTAATGATCAGGGCTTACTTTGCACTCAGGGATCACTGAGCAAGGCAAGCACCTTAATTCTGTTTTATCTCCCTGGTCCCATACTGTTCTGTTTTAAATATTGCTCTAAAATATGCTATTTAAAAATAAAACCATTAATGTTGTTTAATGAATATTACTGAATATTTTATTAAAATTAATTTGTATTATAAAAGAACTTCATTGAGTATAAATACATCAATCTCCTGTCCATTTGGTCAGGTTTTTTAGACATATGTCTATTTAGAGCATAAGTTCCTATGATTTATTTGCCTAGTAGTTACACATTTTAGCAACAGACAAAATTTCATCAGGTATTTATAAAAATGATGATTTGGTTATTATAATATAATAATTTATAATAAGAAAATCCATGTTGCTGCCTTCCTTAAAGGATATTTTTTATTATGGTGAGTCCAGTTTCTCTGGAGACACAACATGGGTTCCTTAGTGAGCATTGCAAATGTTAGCTAAGCCTCTGTCAGAGCCTTGATCCTGGCCTAATGAATGTCTTTTATTAAAGACAATCAGTTAGTTGGAAAGAAAAAGGTTGATGTCAAGGAAAATATCATCAATAATTTCCCCTAAGTATTTACAGTTTTGAGCTGGAGTGATAGCTCAATGAGTAGAGCATTTGCCTCGGCCGCGTGGCCGACCCGAGTTTGATTCCTGCGTCCCTCTTGGAGAGCCCAGCAAGCTACTGAGAGTATCCCACCCACACGGCAGAGCCGGGTAAGCTATCTGTAGTGTATTCAATATGCCAAAAACAGTAACAACAAGTTTCACCACGGAGACATTACTGGTGCCCACTTGAGCAAATCAATGAACAACGGAAGGAAAGTGTTACAGTACTATTTACAGTTTCAGGTC